AGCAACACAACCATCTGTAGCTTCCTCGATATTCATGCTTCCTCTCCTTGAACACCTTTCTTTCTACATTCACTTGGCCAGCTTCTACTCAACATTCCTGTCTCAGCTTGAATGCCACTACTCTGACTTTCCTCCTGGTGCTCCTATATGTTCACTGATTGACCCTGTCTTTACCTTCACTGTGACTGTTGTATTGTAATTAGTAATACAACTAGTAATTAGTAATTTGCATGCCTACCTTCTCACTAGATTCTTCCTCCACCACACCTTTTTCTTTTCTGACCATAAGTTATATATTTTTATCATGTAAATTCAAAATGTAGAATATAAAATGGCCCTTCAAAATCCACTTCCAAACACAACTCTTGTGAGTATAAGAGCAGGAACTATAAGAGCAGGAACCATAAGTTCTCCCTTTGAATTGTTTGGATTTTCAGAATGTAGCAGTGCCTGGCACATATGAGTGTTGAATAGGTGAATCTATAAAATAAAGATGGCATAATTGGCTGTACCAGACAATTGTGTGTTGTGGTGATGAAAACATGAGGGATAAGGAACGCGAAAGTTCTCTGAACACCGGAGAGCATGATGTAAGTACAAATCTGTGTGACTAATGCCCCTGGACTTCAAATCATCTGACTCCTACTACCTGGCAAATTTGGTTCCGATGATGATGATGATGATATGATGATGGCGGCTAACCCTTTTTGAGCACTTTTCACGTCCCAAGCACTACGCTAAGTGCTTCACTTGTATGAACTCATTTAATTCTTATAACAATCTAAAAGGTAAGGGCTATTCATTTATCAATTCTTTTTCAGATGAGGAAGCCAAGGCACAGACAGGTTATGTAACTTGTCCCCCAAAACCACAGAGGTAATAAGGACTTAACGCAGGGCACTCTGGAATCTGAGTACACACTCCTAACCACATCACATCACTGTCTCCTACATATAGCCTGAGGATGCGCCCAGATCATCACAGGAACCAGGCACTTCCCACTCTCACATTGCTTCTTGATCCAGTCTTAGAGTCAGAAGTAACTTTACTTCTGTAATCCTCTGCTCCCTCACATGTAAAATGAGGATAGAAATGGTTCTCATCTCACAAGTTGTTTGTGAGGATCACCCCTAACACTGCCTCTGGTAGCAGTGCGAGATAGGGGGTCAAACCTAGAGCACAGACGTGGCGGTACCAGAAGCAAAAGGACCACACTCTGTAAAGAACAAGTAATCCTTATCCAAGAGGAGTTAAGCATCTCTTAATGAGTACATTTGTATGGCCAGATGGATGCCGAGAACCTATCAAAGACTCCGTGACCAAGTAATTAATTAGTTCAGGCCCCGTGAAGAGAATGAGTATTCGTAAAATCGACACCCACTCCTTACTCATTCTGTTTTTTGTTGGCCATTATGAATGGTGGCAATGATGGTTATATATACCCAATAGGACTGTCAGAAATGGAAACAAAACTCTACATGTAACAGCAGAGGTGTGCGAGTCAATTACAATGAAGCAAAAAGAAAACCACACTGGCAGGTGCTCACAGATGGTGCTTGGATTTGGAACAGCCTTCAAACTTTGTAGAAAACCCAATCCAACTTCAAAAGCAGTTTCCAGGCAGCATGTTGCAGCTCTGTCCAGCTAAGTGACTGTAAAATCACTCCAGGCTCGGGCCTCGGTGGGACTCCTAGCCACTAAGGGTCTCCAGGGAAAGAGTACTTGGTTAAGTCTATAAAGATTTCATTTAACGCCTGGGCCAAGCTACATTATTTGCAAAGCCCCTAAAAAAATATAGCACCTTTATTCTGTCCTAGAGAACAGAAATGAAAGCACAGACAGCAACTTTAAACATACAGACTAGTTTAATCAACAAGGCTACTGGGATCAAAAGCAACCAACCCAAAAAAAACAACCAAACAAGACTCAAGCTAAATTAATGCAGTGTTGTCCCTAAGCTAGGGACTAAAGACAGAAGGTAGAAGCTGGCAAACCCATTGTTAACTAGAACCGAAAACTAACCAGCAAGATTTTCCCAGGCAATCTTACCAACACTCTGCATGCCAGAGAAGAGAATAAGCCTGAACGTACACAATAGCAGGATGAGTCACCAGCGGGGCCTTGAACTGGCACCGAGGAACATTTCCCCAGAATAGCGATATTAATAACTTCAGTTATTACCTAGTGGTATTGAGTCTAGAAAACAGGCTCAGGGAAAGTGTTCTCAGAATTAAAACAAAGAAAAAGAAAAATCAAGGCCTAATAGATGAGATGAGCCATCTGCAGAGGTAACTCACCCTATGAAATATTTTGTGAAAGTGTATGCAGAGAAACTTAGGGAGACCTGACTCCAATGCTCATAACTAAAATTAACTGTGTATTTTATGCCTCTGCGCCTTTGCACATGTTCCTTCTGCCATTGCATCTTCTGTTGCTCTTTTCTCCCTTTTCTCCAATCCATCAGGTAAAAATCTTACTTTCAAAATACAGGCATCATCTTTTCTCAACCTGTGCCTGAAAACGGAATGAATCATTTCCTCATTCCTCCTACTTTTGTACTCTGTGCATGTTATCTCTGCATCATCTACTACAGTGCCCAGCCCAATAGATATTTATCTCAGCTCATCAACTGAGTGGCGCAGGAGAAGAGGCTTGGTCTCTTGTAGGAGTGGTGTATCAGAAACTGTGGGTGGGGGAGTGGTGGTTTGCATGACTGGCATATTGAATATTATGACAGAGAATCTATGTGAGCCATGAGATTTTTATGTTTATTAAAGGAGAACTCCAATTTTTTTTTAAATATATTTTTTATTGATTGCAGAGAGGAAGGGAGAGGGAGGGAAAGAGGGAGGGAGAGAGACAAACATTAATGATGAGAGAGAATCATTGATTGGCTGCCTGCTGTACTCGAGCCCGCAACCTGGGTACGTGCCTTGACTGGGAATTGAACTGTGACCCCCTGGTTCATAGGTTGATGCTCAACCACTGAGCCATGCCAGCTGGGCTGGTTTGTTGTTGTTTTAAAGAGAAAGAATGGTTTAGTAGGGAGATAGATGTGTAAACAAAAATGTGCAAATTGTTACAAAAGTATATACAAGATTAATGAGTAGTATAAAGCAACAGTAGGATTAATTCTCCAGGTGGGGATCAGAAAAGCTTCACAGAGGAAATGATGGGTTGATCTGGGTCTTATGGACAAAGAAGTTCACCAAACAAACCGCCAAGGCAGAGGAACAACCTTACCAAAGCATGGAAATTATATAACATTATAAATATTACTCTGTGCTTGCTCTACTCTCAGATACTGTTCTAAGAATTTTTACATGCATTAGCCCATCTAATATTGTCAACAATATTTAAAAGTGTATGCAGAGAAACCAAGATGGCGGCATAGGTAAACACTGGAAATTGCTGCCTCGCACAACCACGTCAAAAATACAACTAAAAGACAAAACGGACATCGTCCAGAACCACAGGAAGGCTGGCTGAGTGGAAATTCTACAACTAGAAGGAAAGAGAAAAAAAAGCACACTGAGACTCAGAGGAGGTGCGGAAATAAATAATCTGATGAACAGAATAAACTGGTGAATATAATAGAATCAGGGGCATAGAAAGGGAGTGGACTGACTATTCTTGGGGGGGAAAGAGTGTGGGGGGTGCGGGAAGAGACTGGACAAAAATCGTGCACCTATGGATGAGGACAGTGGGCGGGGGGGGTAAGGGCAGAAGGTGGGGTGGGAACTGGGTGGAGGGGAGCTATGGGGGGAAAAAAGAGTAACAACTGTAATAATCTGAACAATAAAGATTTAATTAAAAATAAAATAAAAGTGTATGCAATGTCACCAGTTAGGTACCACTGTTTGCAAGAGACCTAAAATAACAGTGGCTTAAACAGAGTAATTTTTTTCTCTCTTTACAAAACCTCAGGGTCCCAGACTCCTTTTAGCCAACTACTCTAGAAGCTAGTTGTGGCCTTCATCCTCATGGTTCAGGATGTTGGCTACATCTCATTACCCCAACATAATCTTATAACAATAAACAATTGTAAAATACTCTGGGAAATACAGTCTTTATTCTGGGCATCATTTCCCCACCTAAAATTTGGGGGTTCTATAACTATGAAAAAGGAGAACGGGATAATTTCTTTAGGCTGATGAATTAGGCATAGAGTGAAAGAATTAAAGGGTAATGGGCTATAAAATGGTATGATTTTAATTCTGACTACATGATCAAAAAAGTTAATGGGAAGTAAAATGCATAAAACCCAGGTAGCACTAAAGTGCAGAAGACATAATGTATAAGTAATCTCAAAGCTAGATAAGTGAGAGTTGGTTGCAAATCTGAGAGATGGATTTACTAATGGGCCAGTAATTTAATAGTAAATTGATTCATTTTGACATTGCTGATTGCAGTGGCAGAAGATTACATAAAATTAGCCAAAAGGACAACAAAAATCATTGGACACATTTTTCAGTTTCTCCTTTTAATTTTTATCATTGTCTACCTTCCCTCTAAACAATATTCCAATATAGATAGAATAGTTTGCATCTAATGCACACTGATTAAAGTAAAATAATGCAAGTTAATTATTACCTCACAAATATCTTATTTATTTGATTCAATGTTAAAATGAAAAATATATCTTTTAATTTTTTCCGTATTTACATTTTTTTAAAAAATATTTTTCTTGGCCCTGACCGGTTTGGCTCAGTGGATAGAGTGTCGGCCTGCGGACTCAAGGGTCCCAGGTTCGATTCTGGTCAAGGGCATGTACCTTGGTTTCGGGCACATCCCCAGTGGGGAGTGTGCAGGAGGCAGCTGATCGATGTTCCTCTCTCATCGATGTTTCTAACTCTCTATCTCTCTCCCTTCCTCTCTGTAAAAAATCAATAAAATATATTTTTATTGATTTCAGAGAGGAAGGGAGAGAGAAAAAGAAAGAAAGAAAGAGAGAAAGGAAGAAAGATCAATGATAAGAGAAAATCATTGATCGGCTGCCTCCTACATGCTCCCCACTGGGGATCGAGCCCGCAACCTGGGACCCGGGCATGTGCCCTGATCATGACCTCCTGGTTCATAGGTCAATGCTCAACCACTGAGTCACACCAGCTGGGCAAAATGAGATATATTTTGAAGTAACATATACACGTAACTGAAATCAAGTAGTACCTGTAGAACAACTATTCATCAACCCAACCTACTTTTTGTACCCTGCTCTGAAACCATGTGCTTCAGGGGAGTGTATGTTATCTTCAGCCCCACAGGCAGTGAATCATGATTGGGCCAGTTGGTAGTGATCGAATTTTTCTTGCTCATGACTATTTTACGCAGAGGCACAAGCAAAGAAAAAGTCCCTTTTCCCCTGTACTTTGCTGAGTGTGAATATGATCACTGGCTGATTGCAGTTATCTTGTGAACTTGAAGCTGACAAGATAAAGATTGGCAGAGCAGAAAACTGGCAAGAATTTGCATTCTTGTTAACAATCAAACCCTAGAAACGCTTCTGAACTTCTGTGAGGTAATATGTTCCTCATTTGGTTCATTTGAATTGAGCTGTTATTTGCAACCAAAGTACCCTGATACTCTACCACAGGTTGTATTCTACCAAAAGGTCAAAGAACAATAACAACAGCAGTCCCCCATCCTCCTCCTCTTCCGCCTTTCTATCTTCTGGGAGAGGGGTAGTGAGGGGGGAGGAGGACCACTTTTAATTCTTAGCTATTTTTCCAGGTGATTTACTTAGATGCTTTTAAATAACATGCTTATATTGCTATGTTCTTGATTTATCCATAGAAAGAATGCTCACTTTATACTATGGAAGATGAAAATTACGCATGTGCACAACCTTTCCTTTCCCTGCTTGCAATACAGTTTTACAACTTTTGATAAAATACATACTGTGCTTACATTTCTTATACAATTCTTTACCCCTTGGAGTTAAAAAATTATTCCCCACCCCCTTTCCTTTGCATGTTTCTATTATTAGTTCTCAAATTCTCCAAGTTATACTATCCTATCAAAATGATTTTTTCTTATTGAAATTTTTGTCATGTCTTCTCTTTCTCTCCTCCCTCTCATCCTCTCTTCCTTTTATTTCTAAACCCACTTCCATTCCCTTCTTCCCCCATACCAGGCAACAACTCTATGGTGATTAATATGTATAATTGCACATTCTTGCAAAATGAATTTTTGTATATTTTAAATTTATATAAATGGCTTTCCCCACACATGCATTCTGTTTCTCACTGTTTTCATTGGGCACTGTTTTTTCATGATCAAGCCATATGGTTAAAATGGACCTCTGTGGCCCTAACCGGTTTGGCTCAGTGGATAGAGCGCCGGCCTGCGGACTGAAAAGTCCCAGGTTCGATTCCGGTCAAGGGCATGTACCTTGGTTGCACCTATATCTCCAGTGAGGGGTGTGCAGGAAGCAGCTGATTGATGTTTCTAACTCTCTATCCCTCTCCCTTCCCCTCTGTAAAAAAACCAATAAAATATATATTTTTTTAAAAAGTGGACCTCTATGGTTTGTAAGTAACTACTGCAGAATACGAATTGTGTACATCCACCACATTTTTACCTAACCTATCGCCCATGCATGGATATCCAGGTTATCTCCAACTCCATAACATTATAATGCTCAATAATGCCCTGCACATGCCTGGGGTTGCAGGCTTGATCCCAGTGTGGGGCGTGCAAGAGGCAACCAATCAATGCTTCTCTCACATCATTGATGTTTCTATCTCTTTCTCACTCTCCCTTCTTCTCTGAAATCAGTAATATATTTTTTTTAAAAAAAGCTGTATAAAAAGTTTGAAGTTTTGTATGGCTGCAATTATTTAACTTCACACTTGAGGACACTTTGACCACAGAATTATAGATTGGAAAAGCAAATACCTCCCAAAACCCCAATCTCCAGTTCAGCCAATGAGTTTGATGAGCAATGGATACTCTGATAAAAATTTAGTCCAAATAAATTCAGCTCCTGAATTTGAGAATAAGTAGGAAATGTTCACTTAGCAAGGGATGTTTCAAAATCTAAAATAAAAGTGTAATATGCTAATTAGACTAGATGTCCTTCCGGACGAAGCTGGGGCTGCGAGGGAAGCCCGGGTCCCGGGTGCCAGAGAGACGCCCGGTGCGGGCAGCCGGGGGAAGGAAGGCCTGCTCTTGCATGATTTTTGTGCATCGGGCCTCTAGTTTATTATAATTTACTTGCTCATGAGTTTGCAGAGTGTAATAAGTTCAGGTAGCAGGAATTTGTCCTCAGAACTTTAAAGGCCTTGATCCATCATTGTCATCCTGATTTGCTAATAAGGTGTCTAACATTATTCTTGTTCCTAGGTGATTGTTTTTCCCCACTCTTTGGAAACTTTCAAGGTTTTCTCTTTATTTTTACAGTTCTGAAACTTCATAGTGCTATGCCTTGGTGTGGGTTTTTTCATTCATTACACTTGACACTCTATTGGGCCTTTCAATCTGAAGAGTGAGGTTCTGGAATAGCCTCTGGTATTACTTCATTTTAATAATCCCTTCCCCTTTTAAAGCTTTTTGTTTTGATTTTGGGCATGTGCCCTGACCAGGAATCAGGGACCTCCTGGTTCATAGGTCGACGCTCAACCACTGAGCCAGGCAACATTTGTATTTCTCATGACAATATTTCTAATGCAAAAAATAAAATATTCTAAAAATACTGTTGCAAATAATTTAATCTATAAAGATATTTTTATTTTTAATTAAGCATAGTAAGAGATAGCAAACCTTTATATAAATTAACTTTATAATGAAGATTCTTTCATCAGCAGCAAACAAAAATTCAGGTTTAAAATTATGAATGAAACACTATGGAAGAAAATTTTATCACAAAATATTAGGGTATTTTGAAATAAAAAGCCATTTTGCTATCATACTTTTATTTTTGTAGATTCGCTTTGAGTCTCAAAATGAATTTTACAAAATAATTTCCTTTTCATCAGTGAAATACCTGTCACTGTTTAACCTACAATATTTAAGTACAGATGCAAATATTTACTAAGCATTTTCATTAAATAGATATCAAATCATTTTATTTCTATTTAGACTCATTAGAAAATTTATATTAAATACTCCAAGGTAACCTTTGTGTATTAGGCAAGTAGGAGCTACTCAAATGAAGAAAAGTCTCATTTGTTTTGTAAATAATAAAGATTTAAAATGTAAAAAATTGAGCTTAAAAAAACAGCCCAAACCACCTGTTTTTTTAAGTCACACCAGCCATCTACTTCTAAAAAGTCCTTATCAAAGCTATTTTTTAAAACCCAACATTTACTAACTCAACAGATGGGTTTTAGAAATGAGGAAAGTAATTTTACTTTCAATTCACTGATTACATAGTCAACTGGTGCCTTTAAAAAATAATTTTAGAATACATGAAGATTGAATTAAACCATTCTCAACATTTTTCCAGAACTGTTTGCTAACTGGCTTGTTTTTACATATGAACTTTAAACATGTCTTCCACAGGTAGTACACAAAAATAATTATTTGCAACTATAAAATCTAACAAGTAAACTCACAATGTAATATCACTGCTTTTTCCTTCTCTTGTAAGAATCGTTACTGTGAGTTCGAACTCGCTGGTGCACAGAGGATGCTATTTTCATGTTGTCTTTCTTTGTAAATTTCTTCTCTATTGCTCCTGGTTTCCAAAGTAACAACTGTGCATCTTCTCCTCCAGTCAGCAGAGAATCATCCTGCATATTCCAAAAGAAAGAGCGGACTGTAGCAGCATGCCCTCCCTGAAGGCTGGTCACATGGCTCAATCCTGATGTAGTACAGCTCATTAAGTGAATAACTCCTGTGTTTGTTCCTCCAACAATAAATAATTTGTCCATCTTTTCATGATATAGGCCACCAATCAAATAGTCCAAAACACCTCCTTTCAAATTCATTACTTCTCTGACATCCTGGATGCTCAAACATGTAATTGGTTCATCAGTATCCAGATGATTAAGATCCCACCAATAAAATCCTTCATCATGTGTCATGCAGTATATCTGTTTATAATCTTTCCCAGACCAACCAATATAGCTAACTGATGAAACTGAGTTACAAGTTGTAACCAGTGCATCTTCTTCATTATCAGCACTAATATCAAATACATTTACCAAGCCATCTGTGGAACCTGAGACTACCATGTTGGGATTGCTGGGATGGAAACATACTTGAGTGATATCATCACTATGTGTTTCTGAGTATGCACCAAGTGGGTCTTTAGTGGTAGACACATCTTGAGAATTAATTCTTGCATCCCAAAATACCAACAATGCATCATCATCAACTTTTTCTGTACCAGCACAAATGACATGATCATTACAGCTGATATCAAAACTGATAAATATATTGGAAGGATAACCCTTGAAAAGCTGGACAGGTTTTTCACTGGTTAATCGAGCATCCCAACATTTTATTGTGCTATCGGTACATGACGAATATACAATGTCACAAGAATTTGCAAATTTGACGCCATTAAGATGTCCAGGATGTCCGCTAAATTCTCGTACTATGTTTAACCTTTCTTTATCATATATTCTGATTAACCCATTAGAACATAAAACAGCAACCAAGCTTCCTTTTTCTGCTGGTACAGTCTTGGATGTGTCTATGTCAAGCAGATAAGTAGGCTCTTCAGTTCCTGAGGAACGTTTAACAATGTTCAGATTAGCAAATTGCTCTTCAATCTTCTCCATAATAGGAGTGGCATCTAAGGGTAGTAAATATCTGTAATAAAAATATAAAAATTAAAATTAAATCCACAGCTTCTCTAAAATTGTAAATTAAATCAAGAACATTTCCTTCTGAAGGATGACATAAAACAGAAATAAAATCGATTTTAATATTGTAATCATTTCCCTACCATGATGTAACTAAAAATAATTTACCTCCTTCTAATTCTCTATTGAACACCAAATCTACTACATATACTTTATGCCAGTGAGAGAGTTTACAAACAGGTACATACACTGCTGAGTAGTTGGTTTTTAGCTCAAACCCAACTATTGGTCCTATTCATATTCCTCAACCTTAGTTAGGATCTCTACTTTGGACTCATTTACACCTGGTCCCAGCTGACTTATACAACTTTAGAGCCTAAAATAAGTGTGTATGCAGAAAAAATGGTCGCCCCAAAGAGATCTATACCTTAATCCCTGGAACCTGTAACTATGTTCGGTTACATGGCAAAAGGGAATTGAGCCTAGCCAGTGTGGCTCAGTGGCTGGGTGTCGACTCATGAACCAAGAGGTCATGGGTTCAATTCCTAGGCACATGGCCCAGGTTGTGGGCTCAATCCCCAGTAGGGGTCGTGCAGGAAGCAGCCAACTGATGCTTCTCTCATTGATGTTTTTCTCTCTCTATCCCTTTCCCTTCCTCTCTCTCTAAAAATGAATAAAAACAGCTCTAGCTGATTTGGCTTAGTGAATATAGCATCGGCCTTCAGACTAAAGGGTCCTGGGTTCGATTCCAGTCAAGGAGATATACCTCGGTTGCAGCCTCGATTGGGGTGCATGCGGGAAACAATCAGTCAATCAATGTGTCTCTCTCACATTGATGTTTCTCTCTCTCTGTCCCTCCTCCTCCCTTCCACTCTCACTAGGAAACAATGGAAAAATATCCTCAGATGAGGATTAATAACAACAAAATCAATAAAAAAATATTTTTTTAAAAAAAGGGGGAATTGAGGTTGCAGATGGAATTAAGGTTACTAATTGGTCAACTTTAAAGGGAGAGATTAGCTCTGGCCAGGGTGGCCCAGTTGGTAGGGCTTCGTCCTGTGCACCATGAGGTTGCAGTTAGACTCTGGTCAGGGCACATGCCTGGGTTACATGCTTGATCCCCAGGAGAGGGTGTGCAGGAAGCAGCTGATTAATGTTTCTCCCTGTCTCTCTCCCTTCCCCTGTCTCTAAAACTCAATTAAAAAAAAAAAAAAAATCTCCCTTTAAAAAAATAAAAGGGGGAGATTATTCTGGATTATCTTGGTGGGTCCAATGTAATCGATCACCAGTATCCTTTTAAATCCATGGAGCAGAAGAGAGTCAGAGGGAGATGTTACTATGGGAGAAAGGTACAGAGGGATACATTGCAGGGAGAAAGGCACCGAGAGAGACATTGCAAAGGAGGTCAATAAGTGGGTAAATGTTAATATGAGATTATTTTTTTAAAACCCACAATTCTTTGCTACTGCTTCCATCTGATCTCTGCATATGGAAAATCAGACTAATGAGAATTTTAAACAATAAGATAGTTTAATGTGGCCTTTAAGCTAATAGTAACTTATAGGACTATGCCTATGAACTGTTATACCCAAGCAGGACAGTAGTACTAGACTCCTTCCCTTCATTTTGTTGCCTGGAAAGTGTTTCACATTGAAACAGTCCTGCAAGACTTTAATTCAAAGGATTCTGGTGATTGATGAGGCAGGACCTCAGACAGAATGGCACAGCAAACTAGCACTTCAGGACTGTAGCAATGGTAACAATCACAATGGATGTCCACGTGATACACTGTTTAAATGAAGTACAGAAAGAGAGAAAAAAAGAAATAAACAAACAAGATGTCAGAGGTAAGGAGGGTATGTCCGCCAATACTCAAGCTATAGAGCTTATATTCTTCCACAGATACATTTTAATCTCTTATGGGGAAACACGAAAACTTCTAGCCTATGTTTAAACACATTAGTATGCAAATGAGTAATATCTGAACTAAAACTTCCAAGGCCATATAGTTAATGCTTAATTTTACATACTACTGAATCATTCAAAAATGATGAATACACTTTTACTTCTATGTATAGCCCTCATCTGAGTTTTACTTGCATGATCCACTTCCCAGTGTGCAAGAGAAGCCATAGGCTGTCTTTTCTTCTCACTACACTCTCACGGGGTAACCTCATTCATATTCATGTTCAAGTGCCACCTATATGCCAATGATCTCATCTCTCTATTTAAAAATCCTGTTTACAAATCTCTACTAGACATTCACTTCTCCTTGAACGTGTCCCCCTACACCACAAAATAAACTCATTACTTATGCTCCCCCCGCCCCCAAGCCTTCCCTTAACAAAACAAACAAATAAAAAAGTAAACTTCTCAATTTTTTCCATTTTGGTAAATTTCCAAATCCTATTATAGCTAAAGGTTGCTTAGAGAAGTATTAGGTTAAATCTGTGTCTGTGGATCAAAAAAATATTGACAACTTCATATGGTTCAACTTAACAAAAACATATGCAGAGAGCAAATAAGAGTAACCATAATTTTTATCTTACTTTTTCTTTGTTAGATGTATTAAAAAAAGCTTGGTTAGCATTCTAGACCTCAACAGATTAGTGAGAGATGAGGACATGGAGAGTGCCTTTCTTCTGTCAACACACACACACACACACACACACACACACACACACACACACATTAAAAAGGATACAAAAAGATATGAACAGAAAAGAGTACTAAAGCAGAATAGAGAGGAGAAAAGAGAAATGAAGATAATCTAAAAGAGAAAGGAGTGAATAAAAAAGAAAGGGGAGTTACTGCCACTACCTCCTTAATTATATGTGGGTGAAACACTGCAGTTCTTACTGCCCCAACACCGAGTCCAGACAGTGAGGCCCAGATACAGGAAGTTTAGTCAAGTATAAAGCTATGATAGTTTGCTCGGTTAAAAGGAACTTTTCTTCATTAAAATAAATTCTTTGTCCTTGAATTAGAGAATGTAGCAAGCAATCATAACCAATTTAAATATGAACCCAATTGTTCTGAGAATGGAGGCAGAAAAATTCTCTCATCCTGACCCACCTAGTGCAGATCAGGACATAGCAGAACCTCAAGCAGTGCCCTGGCACTGAGCCACGGCTGCTGCTGTGGTTCTTACTGGGATACACAATTCCCATGTCTGAACATAATGCAGATGTGAGATGTCAGAAAGACACCCTAAAACAAACACCTTAGGATAACCTTCAAGAGGGTGAGGATATTCCTGGTGAACCGCCATCTTGCAATACACTAGATGGAAATTGCTAACTAACCTCTTATCTGAATAACTGTCCTTATAGAATTAAAAGTTGATTACCTAATAGCAAGTTCCTAAACATAATTATGAATTCCTCTTGTGGCTTTGGCTTTAAAAAGATTTGTTATTTTTTATCAATCAAAATGTTATTTTACTTCCTATGAAAATAAACCCAGTAAAATATTCTTTCTGCATATAAAGTACATCCTAAACACATCTAGCTGCAACTAGGTATTGCTCTTATTGCTGAACTGGCTAAGTTTGAATATGAAATCTGAAGGACAGCCTAGCTTAAATAATTCCATAATGAATAAGGAAGTAGCTTTTCCCCCCACATAAATAAGGGACAAAAAAAGTATTAAAAGAAAAAAACATACACTTTACACCTATTTAGAAACTACTGATTACAAAAGGCACAATAGTAAAAGTCTCCTACATATTATTTTATAAAATCAGAAATGAGCAGTATTCTTAGAAATAGGTATATTTCTACTTTTCAGGCATAAATGTTCACCATATTTGAGAGTTGACAGCATAAGCATCATACACAATTATATTTTTAAACTATTGAGATAATTTATTAGACTTGGGCCAAAAAACCTAATTCCCCACAGCTAAAACTTAATATTGCCCATTGACCATAAGAAACTAGCTATGATGATTGTGAAAGGCAGAGGTCCAGCAAATGTCGCAAATGTAGGAGATGGTTAATGGGAAAAGACATACAGGGATGGGCTCTAATAACTTCACAATCCGCACTTATAACTCAACTATAATAATGCTACCACGTCTATCAAATTGGGCTAGGATAATTGAGCCTCACAGAGAAGAAAATAACCATAATTGGAGTTCAACAAATGCTAGGCTATATGCTAGAAACTTATTTAATTTTTTTATCCTAATCATTTAACCCTATGAGATAGGTATTCTTATCCCCATCTTAGAGAAGAAATTGCAGTTCAGAGAAACGGGGTAACTTGCAGTGATCTCATAACTACTAATGGGAGGACACAGGGGAATCTGGTTTGAAACCCAAGCTGTAACTTCAAAACCTGTGAAGCTGTGTCCATTCTAATACCATGCTATTGCTCTTCTATGTAAGTACTAAAGTATTAGTGTCAACTTTAATTAAGGTATATCCATATTAGGCTTCGAGAGGAAGAATTATATGTTAATTCTACATATAAGCAGAGAAGAAATTGAGCAGGATGATTGGAAAAACACCAACCTAGAAAAATGCTGCCATAAACAACCATCACTCTATTTTCTTGTGCCCCACTTAGCTTTCTTTTAAACTTTTTATTATGGAATTTGTATGGAGCAGAGAATAGTAAAAGAAACCCTTATGCTTCCATCACCCTGTTTGAACAATTATATTCCGCAAGACAGGAAGTCAATTTATACATCCCATTTAAAAAAAATTTTTTTTATTGATTTCAGAGAGGATGGGAGAGAGGAGTGGGGGTTGGAAACATCAATGATCAGTTGCCTCCTGCACATCCCCTACTGGGAATCGAGCCCGAAACCCGGGCATGTGCCCTTGACCAGAATCAAATTCAGGACCCTTCAGTCCGTAGGCCGACGCTCTATCCACTGAGCCAAACGAGCTAAGGCTACATCACATTTTTTTTTTGAAGGGCAATTAAGAAACTCCAGTGGACAGTGTGATGAAACCCTTCCGATTCACTCCCCTCTCCCCACTCTTTGTGGCATCGACA